ATATACCACGTAATTGTTTGTGAAGCAAGTTGATATCTACATTTATATTTTATTCCAATGTGCCGTGTTGAAGGAGGGGTTTAAGTGTTTCATTATGGAGTTGTTGGTTATTATTTTATTTCGTCTTTTATTTGTTCATTTATTTCAGGAAATACAGAACTTCTAATTTTGTTCCCTCAGTAACCCATAACAACTATATTGTTTGTCTTCAAACAAAAAACTAGTTTCAGCTACTCCAGGAAATAACACGAAGAGGAGCTAGTTTCACGAATTTTCAGTTATGTTTCAGTCATTTAAACTTAACCCATAACAACCATTGCTCCTTGAATGTTGTCACAATACGGCAAATAAGGTTTGATGTCCAGAACAGGCTGTAATAATAGTTGTAGTAGGTTGTGTTACTGTTGCATATACTGCCACATATAAATGTACTTATAAGACGAAGAAAACAAATGAGACAATTTCTTTTACATAAGATAGCTACTGATGCAAAAATCGAGAACTTACAGTTCCATCAACCAGATCCACGCTAGAGAGTAAGACCGTATGCCCATGTACTGCCTCGACCTAAAACGAGCAAAAGGCGAATTTGCATAAATTTTATTTGAAAAGGGAAAAGAATAGATTCTGCAGTTCCTAGAAAGTAATTTTAGCATGGGCATAAAGTTCTGCCATAACAAATATTTTCTCGCCAAATGAATTGCCAGGGAGGCATCAGCATGGGAGTTGTTAATAGATATCAACTAAAAAATGGAAATATAATGTGCAAATATAGCCATAACAAATAATTAGAAATACAGAACTACATGATTAAACAGTGAAGGTTCAAATTTGGCAACAGAATTTGATTGAGCCAATTATGGATCAATCATAACATTTTAGCATGGAATCCCATTTCTTCAAAGAAAATATGTCTGCGTGCAAAGTTTATGGATTTGTTGATACAAACAAAGTGATAAGCAAAGGAGCTTCAACAAGACCATTTTGGAAGATATTTTTTCATAGTGCAATATAACAATACCTTAGCTACAGTCAACCCAATGGAGCACAGACGATGAGGAGATCTTGTAGCAAAGACTCCAACTCTTTCACCTTTGAGTCTTGGTACCCTTACCTACCCATGCACTCAACCATCTTAAAGAACTCACTAGGAACCATAAACATAAATTAAGTTAAAAAATACAAAGGAAGAAAAACATAAAATGAAGCTTCTCCACAACTGCCCGATACTCCTTGAATTTCTCAAAGCATTCGCACTTGCGGTGAAACAGGTAAACGTACCCACATCTCGAGTAATCATCTATACAAGACACATAATACTCGAAACCTCCTCTAGCCTGGATTGACATTGGACCACACAAATCAGAATGAATCAGTCCTAGCACTTCTTGGCTCCTATACCCCTTTGTCGTGAACAGCCTCTTGGTCATCTTACCTTCTAGACAGGATCCCCAAGTTGGATAGTGCTCTTCCAATGGACTGAGATGTCCACTGGCCACAAACTTTTGAATCCTCTTAAGGTTGATGTGCCCAAGTCTAAGGTGCAACAGATATGCTTGATTTATCTGCGAAGACTCCTTCCTCTTATTAGATGTAGTTATGACATTATTCAATTCATTTTGTTGCACTGTGGGGGAGTTTGGTTTGAGAACATATAAATTGACAACTAATGAACCACAACATATGGAACGATTTCCAAAACGAATAACAACCATGTCATCAAACGAAACTGAGAAACCATTCATAACGAGAGAGTTACCTTTCTTGAGGAGATGGCAGTCGACCTTCCAGTGTCCTCACTTGTTGCACTTGTAGCATCTTCCTTTCGGTTTCTTTTCCACAGTGTTAGGGGCCAGTCGCTGAGCAACCAGAGCATCTTGTGCCCTCGCCTTTCCTGCAGACTTCTTTCTCTTCCTGCCCTTGTGAGGCCTAGAAGGTCCAGCCTGCTCGGCAACTTGCACCTCTTATGCCGCATAAAGCTCAGTCAACAACTCCGGAAGAACCGTACATAACGCATGCATGTCATAGTTCAACTAGAATGGGTCAAAACTTTTCGGCAAAAGCTTGAGCACTTTATCGTCCTTGGTTACCCCATCAATACTAGCTCCTAATGCTTCTAGCTCATTCAACTGCGCGATAGCACTCAGGGCATGCTCCCTTCCGGGTGTGCCCTTGTACTCCTCAGAAGTCAACACTATGTCTAAGTTCCTCTTCTAATCAATGTAATTAAGACCAGTAAGTAGATTTTCTTTTAGAATGACAGACAACGGATTAAACGACATGATGAATATTCTGAGAGTCATGCAAATAAATTTTACAGATTAAACACTTTTGAATTTAACTGCTAATATTGATATCCTCAAAACAATATTAACTTAAATTCACCGACATCTATTACACCTTGTGAGAATGCATGTTACGAGGGTCGCCCTACAAACTTGCATTTTGTAAGAGAAGGGATTTTCAAGTGCCCATTAATTTTCATAAGTCAAAACCAAATTCATGACAAACGAAGTTAATAGTCGGTCTCCATTTGGCCATGCAATAGAACTCAGGGACCCCGAGGGGGATTAATAAATTTAATTGCATTCTAAGTGAATCCCATTTTTGGTCCTAAGGTCGTCAAATTTCGATTATACGTCATCTGAAGGGAAGCCCGTACGCTCTCATAAGATTTCCTCTAACCGTCTATTTAGAAATTTGTCTTGGTAATTACCTACAATTAAATTTTAGCAATGTCACCAGGGGGAGCCCATTACCGCAGCTTAACTGATTTACCGACAAATTAGAAATACAGGCCTTAGGAATTTTACAATTAACTTTAATTTAAAATCCCTTCTCAAACTTAGTATAATTTAATGAGGATTTTTAACTATTTATGCAATTCCAAATTAATCTATGTTAATGCAATAATTAATCAACATGCAATTCTAAATTAATCTATGTCAATGCAATAATTAATTAACATGTACAATAATTTATGCAATTCTAAATTAATACATGCCAATGCAAATTAATTACATGCATAATTTATTGACACAATTCTAAATTAATCCTATGCATTACATAATTAATTATCATGCATAATTAATCTTACAATACTAAATTAATCCCATGCAAGAACATAATTAATTAACATGCATAAATATTAATTTAGTGGCATAATAAACTTAAATAAATAATATAAATTCACTATTATGGCCATTAAATATTAAGTCTCCTTAAATATGGAAACTGTGGTTGTTCTTTCCCTGTTCAACTGGAACTCCTTTAAGCAGTAGAATCCTATTGATCTTGTACTGCTTAGACATCAAGTAAACCTCTCCACCTCAACCACGACCAGCCTGTCACACCCCGCCTTACTAGCTTTTAAAAAAATCAGAGTAAAATTTTTGCTTTTATTTTCGAAAGATCGTGCGAGCTGGTTTTCGAAAATACTAACTTGTTGCGGGATGTCACAGATAAAAACTTACTTAACTTGCTCACAGACATATATATAAAACATGCAACCCTACTATCCGCTATGGATAATGGAATTAAACATGCAATGTCTGAACTGTCTCGCACTGTCTAGTCTGCTAACGGAAGCATCCGAAATACAGAAATACATATCCGAATAATACATGATAAAAAAAAAACTAGGACATAAAATGAGCGTAAAAATGTCCATGACTCTCATGACCACGCTTCGCCACGTCTGTGCTCATCTGGCACTCTCGACTCCGTCTCCTGAAAAACACAATGGGGGCGTGAGCAAACCACTATACTCCGCAAAGACCAGTACTGAATAAAACAGTATTTATAATAACGTGTCATAAACATAAATATATAAGAGTTTAAACTGTAAACTTTTCTTTTCTTGCTTTTCTGTGGTCAAAAGACCTTCGGCCCTTAGGTCGGCCGCTCGTGTGCACACACCGATGGGATATTAAGGCCCTTGGCCTCCACCGGTCACCAGATGGGATATTAAGGCCCTTAGGTCGGCCTCCACCTGGAGAACTAACTGTCTCAAACATACCTCTGCCATAATACAAATATTATACATGATGTTGAATCCAGTACATGACCCCCACCTGTTATGCTGAAAAGGACTACGCAAGTGCTGGAAAATTTGGGTAGCTGTCGGAGGCTCGACTCTCCTCAAGCTACCAAACATATACAAGCAAAATAATCTAAGTATTTTGCTTGACTGCTAAACTTAATCTGAAATGATCATTTTATATTATAACAGATAAGGCTGATTACATATAAATAATTACATGCATATATAACAAAATAGATAAAATAAATAAAATCACGTAAACAAGTAAACTGGACTTGCTCTTCTGCTCGACTGGACTGATCTAGCGTTTCCGGATAAAGTCTGACTGAATCCTGGAAACTGAATTTACCAGTCTATCTTAATCTGGTTTGAACCATCCGGTCTAACTTAGTCGAACCGGGTCCGCTTACCAAACCAGCTCGAGTTCGACTGGTGACCTAGGCTCGGTTCGGGCGGCACGCGCTCACGCTGACCGTGCGACACTGGCTGCTTTCCGGTCAGGCCGGGAAGGTGACCCTCTCCGACCACTTAACTTATACTAAGCCATGTCTACTCATGAAGCTCAATTAAATCAAGATTTTACATTTATCTAAAATTTAAATTGAGCATAATTGAGCTCTTAACCTCATGAATTTTTAAAATTCACACAAGTCTCCAAAAATAACAAAACTTGGCAGTTAAATAGTAGACATAGACATATACTTGCTATCCAAATTTCATGTCAATAGGACTTCATTTGCTTATTAACTCATGAATTAAGCATAACATGAAATTTAGTTATATACATGCGCATATTGCAACAATTTTGTAAAATCACATGATCAAAATTTTAAGCTCAAACTCAGTCACAATGTTCACCACTCATAAGAGGATTTTATATAAAAGTTTTGCATTCATAGCTTGCATGTGGACAGAGTACTCTCGCACATAACATTAGTTCGACACGCATGCAATCTAAAAATTATAACTCCTTTATTTCTTATGATAAAATCATGAAATTTGGTATGGAGGCTCTCAACTTATATATGAACATGTCCATAAAATTTCATAATTTTATCCAGAGTATAACTCGAGTTCTACGTGTTTGAAGTCGCAACTGAAATTCGCGCATGTAAAGTTCATCTTGCATGTTTAACTTTAAAAATCAAGAACTCGTGTTATACTAAGACAATTGACCTAATTCTTGATCTATTTGAACTCTTCTCTTCCACAAAAAATAGATACTTAAGTCGCACAATAGCAGGTTTGGCATAGCACAGGTAAAAAGCAAGCAAACATCACATAAACAACATGCGGGTGAGCTGAAACAACTTTAACATTTTTGCATGCTTATAACTACTCAAACACTGAACCTATAAGTCATCAAAACAAATAATTCTCATTCTCATATCATGCATAACAGGTCCTAAAAAGTATTTAGCAAACTAACCTTGAAAACTTCTCAAAAATGCAAAGGAAGCTTGGTGTGCTCGGTTTTCGCTAGGTTGTTGTTGCTGCAGCTTTGTGGCTTGTTCTCTTCTAACTTTCTTGAGTTTAATGCCTCAAAACACTTCTATTGGAAGTGTAGAATGGGTTAAGAGTGATATAAAGTGGTTAGTAGCATGAGTTGATGGCTAGAATTTGAAAATAAACACAAGTGTGCACTCGGGATTTTTCATGCTCTCAAGTACTTACTCTCGGTTTTTGCTAAAATGCTCAAGTGTTTGGAAGTGTTTTTCTCCACAATGATAAGTATCATAATAGTAAAAATTTGGGAGACTTTGGAGCTGGGAAGAGGCTTATAGGCCTGGTCTTGGGCGGACATTACAATGCTAAGGAGGGTGGGGAACACTTGTTGGGGACAAGGTGTTCTTTCTCATTCCCAAAGACACTAAGGCATGCATGGGCTGATGGTGCACGATTTTGGACTGAAAAAATGGCTGAGAACTCTGCTCATAGCACCAAGGGTTGAGTGGAAGACACACTCTTACACAAGGACTTAAAAAAAACAATCTCACCCATGCTAGGTTATGAATATAATAAGGCCAACAAAGTATGACTTGTGCTAATGACTCTTAGGCGTGACTTAGGCTTGTCAGGATAACGGCAATTTGATAAATGAAAAGCTTGTCAGGATAATTTTGTTAATCTTAAAATAGTTAAAAGATTGCGAGTTTTTATAATTTAAAATGACTAATAATCTTATAACATCATATAAGATTCATAAGGCGTCGTGCTAATACATCATTGCTCTGCAATAATTCAACAAAGTCAACATAGAATTTGAGTTACAGACAGAACAAAGAAGAAAAATGCATATAGAAAAGGAGAAGAAGTTAAACAATATAGCAAAAATCATTTTTGAGCATCTGTTGCAAAACAATTATTCAAATTTTGCAACCACTCATACCAAATCACCACAACCTTGTTCAACGATATTAAAAAAAAAAAAAGGCTACACATGCAAGAACAAAATCCTGATGAAAAGCAACAATGGAGAAACCTTATGGTGAACGCCAACAACCGCATCTTATGATTATACTTATGAAATTATGCAGAAAGCGTCTCATGAGCACCTGTCTCAATAGTAACCACCGCCATGAGTGGCTGTATCTGTCCAGTCAGATGATGCATCACCCTAAGAAAAATACAGTCAAGAAAATTCAAACTACAAAGAAAGGTAATGCAGAAAATGTTCCTGATTTCTGGGAGGGAAAAGAAAACAAAGAATAATGGAACCTTATGTTGAGGTTTATTTTATGAACCGTCACCGTCATTCTTGTTCTTATCTCGTTCATCTTTCAACTTACCACAAGAACTGCAACAGGTTGAATTGATTGAAGTAGCTTCTCCAACCATCTGTTGCGTTGTGTTTCCCGATTAGATAGGATAACAGAGTATCCCGATTCGGTACCACAAGCGCTCCTAGAAGTTTCTGCTTTTATCGAGTGAAATCTAGTAAGTCCTCTCTATCTATCCACCTTGGTAACATTCAAAGGAGACACGTTCCTCTTCCTTATAAGTCGTTTACTCTTCGCTTGGTCTCCACGGTCCACAATAGCATCCTCAGGCTGAAGATCAAGGTCACCGATTTGTGCAAGATTTTTCTAAACGAGGAGGTTAACCTCGTGCTGCTTATTGTCCTTGTAACCTTTGTCGGTTAAGTTGAAGAGCCTGCTCTGTTCAGTGTCATAAAGTTTTTTCACGATGAACCCGGGATGTTGTTTGAATCATAGAATCTGCTTATTTTTTAGGTATGAAGTGCACCACACACTTATGCATGACTGCTCCTGCGGCATGTAATCTGCTTATTTTGAGGTATGAAGTGCACCACACACTTATGCATGAATGATCTCTGTGGAAACTATAGAACAATTCCCTTGTGTCACTCGACTGCCAATTTCCACAGCCTTTTTTCTCTACTTCTTCTAGATGACCGTAACAACACTTTCCTGCGTTTGGGAAATATCCTATACAACAAATAAGGACTGATTAACACTGCTTGCAAGAAAGGCTTAAACTTTGATTTGTGAACTGCGCATCCAGATAACCAAATGATTCCTTACAAAAAGAAATTCTTACATCTTATATGTTTTGTGCCTCTCTCATCCTCTCACGCTCCTCATCATGCTTTCTATTCCATTCCATTCTTTGGGATACTATTGAAAGAAAGTAGTGCCTATTATTTTAATAAAAAACATACAATTAATGCTAAACAAGTTGTGAAGGCCAAAACAAAGAAATACAAAAATAAAGGGCAAAAAAATGTAAAAAAGGAACCGAAATCAAACCGGGCGATCTAATTCCTGTGAAAATTTCTCAGACATGAGCAGCTTTGCCTACTTGTTCAAAAACTGAGTATCCAGATCGGCCGATGTGCCCTAATTCACGAACTTTAGAAAAAATAGAAAGGAAAATACATCAGCGATCTGTTGCAAACGCGAATCAACTGAAACACAGAGTAACCAAAAGTTAGCAAAACGAAAAATATCAGTAAGGCAAATGATCGAAGTACACTATATTGAAAGCAAACGAAAAACATAAGAATAATATTTACCCAGAAAAATAGCTTTTGACCAACAACTGCAATGGTTATTAAAGTTATACAGGCAACTTCCATTCAAGTTTGCGGCAATAAATAAGTACACACCCTCCCATTCCACCTCCACCCCACTGAAGTAAAGAAAGAAAATGAAAAAAAAGGTATATTTACTGGTGGGAAAATCTTCTATGGTCACTGGGAATCACAAGCCAACAATCGCATAATATATTTCATCAACCGGAAAATTTAATAGTTTTACCTAAAGACAAGCGCAAAAACTTTCTGTTACAATTCCAAACTTAGTTTCACAACAAAATATACCACACAAAAAGATTTAACTTAACCTATTAAAAATAAATGTTTAAGCGAATGATATAACACCACCTCCAAAGAAAGTATTTTTTCCACCAAAATTAGGGAAAGCCAAACTAAATGATTCATAGAGAGAAGTTCTAAGTAGGGAAGCGCCACCATTTTACCTGAATTCGCAAATGGCCTAGTTGAACCCTCAGCCTTTTGCTTACATTTGTATCAATTTTTAGAAAGTTCTACAAGCCAATTATACTTTAAAACATACTCACATTTGTAATCTTATCTCCACATTTTGAATCTATTTTCTAAAATCCCAAAATGTATTAAACAAAATAATAAATTCAATTTTGAAACAAATATAATTAAAAGAGATCCAAAAGAAATCGTTCACCATTGCAAACAACCAAACTATGTACCATACCCCAGTCAAAATGAAGTCAACAATATAAACATCAGAAAAATAACCTCCACTTAAGCATCATAAGCCATTTTCAATCCCCAAGCATGAAACTTTATCGTCGTCCTGATACACGGAAGACAAAAACTTCTAAGTTATTGTGAGAAACATAAAAAGCACCAAAGTACACATGGCACCGTTACAAATTGAAATATTTTTACAGAACATTACTAGTCCCACAGAAAAAGAAGAAGAAGAAGAAGAACAAAGAAAAATCAATCTCGATTTTGATCTTCCTTTTTGTCCCGGTCCATTCTTCTATGTTGTACCACAACCAACAAAAACTCAATGTAACTGAACCTTGTTTATTGCAAAACCTATAATTCTGATTTAATACTTACTGTGACTCATTGCCTAAAGAATAAAGCACAACCTTATTGGATAGAGGAAAAAAAAAAACTTATTAAATAGAGGGTATATCGTATGTATTAGAATTACCTCCTACTTACACAGTGCTTGTATTTTTAAGATTAATTTGTTGAATTGACTTGATACTGTCGGGACCAATATCCAAGCCTATCCAGCCATCAGAAACTGCAGATGATGGAAAATTTGGTGCCATAATTTTCATCACTCCTCTTCATAGCAAAAACAAACTGTTCTACCTGACACTAGATATGGTTCCATACTTCCATAGCAGCTCTCACAATCAACGGGTTTAATGCACCAAATTCCCTTGTATTATACTAAATCTGCACCAAATCCCCCTGTATTATATTAAATCTGCGCGTTTTCCCCCTCTAATTTAAAAATTGCGACAGACTCCCTTATATTAAGGTCTCAGGTGCACACGCTCCCTTGTCTCCCGTTATACCCTCTGAATATTATACATATATTTATGATATATTGAATACATCGCGAGAAATTGAATTAAAAAAAATTACAACCCATAGTATTCGAACCTGGTACTTTTTGGGAGCAAGACAAGCAATCATCCACTACACCATTCAAGGTTGAGTGTTAGAACTAGGAATGTTTGATATATATGGACATTGTTATGGATAAATGAAATTAAATTTAGAATATTTAACTTATATTAAATTAAATTATTAAAATATAAAATTATGATAATTCAAATATAATAAACTAAATTATATAAAATTAAACGAAAAAAATAATTCAAATAACTATTTATGATAAACGGAAAAAAAATAATTAAAATAAATATAAATAAATATAAAAAATTGTAGTTAAATAATAAATAATATAATAATTAAGTAAATCTATATATTTATAAAATATTAAAAAAAATATAAAATAGTATAAAAATAGTTAAAATAAATAAATACAAATCATATATAGCTATTTAATAAAAAATATTTTATTTTCAAAATTATACTTTAATAATATATTATATATATAAGTAGAATTTAATTTTATTACAAATTGAATGTAATTTAATTTATCTTTTAATTTTATTATAAATTTAATTAATTAAATTAATCATTTAATTTTATAAATTATATTTAATATAATTTATACAGATTATATTACGTCAATTCATTAAAACGTGTATTGAAATTTTATATTAAAATTTATTTTACATTTATATTATTAATTTATTAAAATGAAATTATCATTTTGTTTTTATATTAAATAGTAATATATTTTTTAAGAGTAAATCATATTAAAATTATTTGATAAATAATATTTTTTATTATATTATATTATGTTAATTTCAGTTCCTTATTTATTTATTTTATTATTTCATAATAAGATATTTGATTTATTATTCATCTTACTTTATAATTTTTATACTTTATTATCTTATATAGTTATTATTTTTATTTTTCTTTAATTAGATTATTTTAATTTTATTTATTTATTAATTTCATTTTTATATTTATTTTTCTCATTTAAAATTTATTTAATTTTAGTTCAAGCTAATACATTAAATTTTATCTTACTTTATTTTAATTTAATTTTTTTCATTATTTTAAGTTAATTTAATTTATTGGAAGTTATTAGTATTATTTTTGTTTTTTTCCGAAACGATAGATATGATATTATAACCAAAAAGCACAAATGTGCAAAAGCAGCCCATAGCTGAATAAGATAGCTACCAACTGAAAACTGAGAGGACAGGTCAGCAGACCGCCTAGAACCTCAACTAGCCAAGCTAAAATAAAAACTGACTCAAAACACTACAGACAACTAAACAAACTAAGATCGCTCCCCACAGGAGAATAGGATCGGCCCCCACGGGGTAATCAACACAGGGGCCAACGGCCCAGACCAAAAAAAACCAAACATAAAACACTCAGGCGAAGAGCCCAAACCAAAAACACTTCACTAAAACAGACTCAAGCAACAACAATCAACAATAATAAAAACAAACAGGCCCTTCCCCAGCAATCGAAAGAGCTCGACCCGCAGCGAAACGATCGATACAAAAAGGTTCCAGATCCGAGCAGCGGCTACCGAAACTGCGAATTGCCTATACAGTAGAACCAACCGAACCCCAAACCAATCCAGAGTCGACCCGTCCCCAACCAAGAGAGAGGCAGCCGACATTCACACCAGACCCACCCGAACTCGTCAAACACCACTAGCCGAGCTCGGGAGAACCATACCCCTTGCCGCCTAACACCACTAGACGCACAAAGGATGGTGAGAATGACACGCCCCCTCAACTCCAACCGCTGCCACAAGCAGTCGCAGCACCAGAGTCCCAACCCACCCTTTAGAGCACGCACCGCCTCGGACCACCACGAACTCCAGCGACCAGAAGCCAAAACCAACCAGAACGGCTAGGCTTCGCCGGAAAAATGCAGCCCAACGACCACAGACAAGGAGAGATGAGGGGTTTACCTCCCAAGTACAGCTCCCACCGGCAATAGATGAGAGAACTCGATTTGCCAGCCAGAAACCGACCAGGAGGATCGCCACCACCAACTTTAGCCCCGTTTGCAACCATATGAGCGGACCCCCGACCGCCGAGTTTCCTTGGCCAGAGCAAGGCACGCGACATCAGGATAAGACCAGGTGGAGAAGAACGACTGCGAGTCTTGACATCTTCGTTACCGAGGAAGGTGGATCGAACGAGATTGAAGGAAGGAACGAGATTGAACTGATTTGGGGGAGGGTTTTCAGATCGCCTTTTCTTTTCTTTTATTTTTGTTCTTTAATTGTTTTTTTCATGAAGTTATTAGTATTATTATTATTAATCATTTAATTTATGGTAAATTGACATATTATTCTTTTATTTTATTTATTTATTTATTTTTAAACAATTTAATTCATTTCAGTATGATGTATAGAGATATTTATGTTCAATAAATTACACATCCATTCATATGGCCTAGTGGTTGAGCGGCCATTCCCTTCATTTCCAACCTAGGTTCGAATCTTGTTGTCCATATTTCATACATTTAGGTTTTGCACATAATTCAAGGGTAAAACAGTAATTTTTGCCACTTTGGGGTGAAAAAATAAAGAAAAAGCCACACAGCACGCGCGTGCACGGCACTTCCGTCATCTTAGACGGTTTAGGGTGTTTCGCGCATGCAAAACCTTAATAGAAGGAGTCTGACGCAATTTTTAAAATAAAGAGGAGAACGCGCATATTTAGTATAATACAGGGGGATTTGATGCATTAAACCCCACAATCAACTATCAACAAAATTGAAAAGGATTTCAGAATTACACGACAGTCAAATAAAAGTTGCACGGATTTGGGGTACCAACGGTACTAACTAATACAACACCCTCTACTCTACTGCGCTATTCAATGACCATTGGATGATATTACTTTAAGCTAATGGCAATTTGATGAGGAGAGAGACTTGTATTATAAATTAAAATGCAAGAGGGATATATGATGTTTCCCACTAAACATTTTACATTTTACAAAGAGAGACTTGTTTTAAAAAATTTTACTTACTCATAAAATTATATGTTACATTTTTATATGTTTTTTAATCTAATATTTTTATATAACAAATTTGTAAAATCACTTAGAAAATTATATATGTAGGAGAGACAACATATTAACTAATTATTTTAAGAGAGAATAAATATGTAAATTGTAATTCTAAATAAATATGTTTTTCTAAACAATGTCACAATTTAAAAAAACTAGAATGTGGCTAAATTAACTAAATGGAAGTCTTTCTAAAAGTTTAATTATTTAAAATTTTATAAGTTTCATATTACTTAAAATATAATGGATTGATATTTTTTTATTTTAAAAAGTGTATATTGCAATTATATCATTTCTTTGAGAAAGTTAAAATAATGGTTTGATAGATGACCCTTTATTTTATTAATTAATGTAATATTATATAATTAATATTTGAAACTTTTTAATTTTCATTTTTAAATGTAATGTTATACAAATATTGGACAAATAAGTATTTCCAAAGTTCAATTAAACCATAAATTTCTTGTTGAACCATGAAGTTCTCCACCCATTACACATGAAGTTCCCCACCAATTACACTAGTTTTCAACTAATCAAAAAATCACCATCAATAATTACAACCAAATATATATTATTGATTATAAAAACACCATACTTGGGGGATAAATATACATAATATCAAAAATTAAAGCCAAACTGCATATATATTACACTTAATATTAGCTCAATTACAAGGTTGTATTTTTTCTTGGCAGAAGGGTGGGGTACGAGACGCGAGAATTGAAAAGTGTAAGAGAAACACTTTATTGTGTTGTGTTATTAAAAAATAAATAAAAATTTTGAGCCATTAGATTAAAGTAATATCATCCAATGGTCCTTAAATGACACAGTAGAGGGTGCTGTATTAGTTGCCACCGTTGCCCCCCAATCCAAGTTGCACACCTTGCTATTAGCATCAGTTCCCCCACGCCGTGTGGGTGATGTCGGTCTCAAAAGGTCGAGCAGGAGGCGGCGATCGAAATTGGGTCGCTAGGGTTTTTCTGTATGCTGCCGTTTTTGGGATCCGACCCTGAGCTCGTTCACAGACGGCAATACGGTGGCCATAGATCTCCCGGGGACTGCTTTGAGTCCGCAAGGCAATAGAAAGAGGGTTGAAATTGGGGCTATAGAGAAGACAGCAACTTGCGTGAAGAAGAAAAAGGGAAGAAAATCAAAATGAATCCCGTAACTTGCGTGAAGAAGATAAAAAAATCTTTCAAGAATGGAAAAGCTTTCGTGCAGCGAAAATCTGTCAGACTGAATAGACGACAATAGCCTTAGCATGTTGGAATCTAATGAACAACTGTAAGAGGAGTTTAGTGAATAAGTTTTACAGCCCAAAAATCCGGCCTCCATCACTTTAAATGCTACTAAGATTAAATTACCAAAATACCTCCATATATTGTATTACAAAGATGATTAAAAAAGGGTATTGAAGTATTTGCACTCAAATTAACCACTTGTCAAGTAAGGAATTCGTCACTTGTCGTCTTGTGAAGGCCTCTTTTATATATATATATATATATATAGGGTTGGGTTCACATGAGAATGGTGCTTAGTGAAAGAAATGAGAATAAATTGTAGTCGTTAGATCGGATGATCTAATGACTAAAAAAAAGTCAATATTATATCATCATTAAGAGTAATGTGGTAACTTTTCA